GTAAGAACAGAAGATCAAACAAAAGCCCTGTTTAGCTCAGCATTCTGTTCCTGTAGTAGCCAACAGGATGCCCATAGGAAGCCCACAGGAGGTCCACAAACAGGACATGAGGTCAGAGTATTGCTCATCCTCTGTTCCCAGCAATTGATTAACAGGAGTGTCTTGCCATCATGGAGGTAGTGCATACTATTGGCTGCTATTTAGGCTGCTTTAAAAAAAAAACTATATTCGTTTCATTCATCCATTTAGGGTGCAATGTGATGGCTTCTAGACAGAGTCCAGATAGCTATGGGAGTCCCAGCTCTGAATGCAAAAACTTGCTCTGAGGCTGGAGCTGGCACAGAAGGAATCCTGCCAACTGCAGCTTTAATGGGTGGGGAGGGATGGAGAGGAAAACGACAAGCTTCACCAGCATACACAGTATAGGAAAGCAAAAGAAAAGACATTTCCCACTTGTGTAACTGTGCTATTCTGTTATACCACAGTGCCACCTGGAGGTAATGTGGCAGAAAAGCAGGAAAGGAAATGCTCTGGTGTAATACTTGGATCTTTTGCAACAACATGGTACGTAAGTAGATTCAGCAGATTAACAGCCTGTACAAAAAAGGCTTACTGGATTTACTCGCTGAATCTGATGACATGCTCCTTTATCCAAGCCAGTGTGCTTGCCTAAGTGAATGGTTTTCATGTTCAGTACGCCATACTCGTATTCTTACTGCTGTTACCCAAAGGAAGAAAATCAGAGTTATACTAAGCACCTGCTGGAAGAATCTACTGCATCAAAGCGTACAGTGACTGGCAAATTCAGTTCTGAGGATCTCCAGGATTATTTCTGTCAATGTGCACTTCCTCAATGAACAGTAAGCACATGTCATGCTGGTGATCAGCCAGCAAACATAGGCTAAAGTCGGCTTCACAAAACCTACAGAGGAAGCTCCAACATGGGCCCACTATCATGCTGTGAGTTTGCTACACAATTGGAAAATATGCACAGCATGAATTGACTGTAAATTGAGCTCAGCTAGACCATGATCATTTAAGAGTACAAAAAGACTTCAAACATTCTGAAATAAATAGATTATAATGTATGTCATGTAGTATAGATTATTTTTCCTATAAATTGTCAGCACCATTCCCACTCGTATAAATACTCTTAACTGCTCAGTTATGACACTGATTAGAAATATTAATGTCTAACAATGCAGTGAAAAGAACAAATAATTCTTTCACTAATCCTAACTGCAGATCAGGAAAAACATTGCTGTTGGTGGAAGGCCTGTAATATTTAATCACATCTTTACATGCCAGGGAATGTCAATTAATAACCAAGGGCAATATATTGATTTAAACAGTATTGCATGGAGAGTCAACAAATACAAAATTCACAGTGGTACTCAGCCATGCTAGAAAAGCTATGTGTTTGTCAAAACCACACACACAGTTAATTTCACTCCAGATGTATCAGTTCCTATTGACCTTGCCCTGTAAACAGATCATAACAAGCTGTTTGCTTTTTGCAATTCTTCCTGTTTTGATTTCACAGATGTCTCAGGACTGTGACACAACACCCACAGTTCCTTTTGTTTGTGTCAATCCCTTCTGTCATTTTGATGTTCCAAATTCACATATGATGGTGAGTATAAAACAGCATTTTTTGTTTATTTGGCAATGATTTATTTAGCACTTACACAGCACTTCTATTTCAGGAAGCCTTTCTAAACAAACCAGTCACAGTGTTGTTGATTTTGCTTGTTATGTTCCTTTATTCTTGTAACTGTTTTATCTGTTATGGTACAGCATTCTGAAATCTCCAGAGTAGAATATGGAGCAGTATATACATTCGGCAAGCAAACACACTGTTCAGGGGCTGCGACAATATACCAGGTCAGACTACTGAGCCCTCTGGCCCAGCCCAGCCGACAGGCAGCAGCTCTGCCCAGATTCAGGCAGGGTCCCTCTCTCCCCAGCCCTCTTGGCTGGAGAGGGCAGGGACTGAGGCTGGGACCTCCTGCATACAGTTCAAGCCTGAACAGGCTCTATAACTGCGCCAGTACAGAAGGAGAGCTGTCCCCACCCTCTCACACACTCCAAGCAACTGGAACTGGGTTAAAAGAACGAACCAAACTATGGGTGGCCAGGCAGAGAGAAGATGCCCTGTTGGTGCTGCATGCCAGACGGCCTCCCGTCCCCTTCCCTTCTGGGCCATTCCTTGAGATCCAGATGAAGCTGCACAGCCTTCTTGGCTCTCACACCAAGCAGCCAGCTTCCCCGTCAATGGCTTGATCCTCCTGCCCCCTGCCCCTCCGCCTATACACCTCTGCTGCATTTTCAGATGAGGAAAACAGAGTACAGCCCTTTGTTGATGTGTGTGTGTTATTTTCACACTCCATTGAAAAAGAGCTATAAATAATTGTTAAACAAAGCTTGCCTGCTGGCACTGGAGCTCATCTATTAAAACCTCCCCTTTTAAATCAAAATTGGTGGGCTTGAGTCCCAGTCTGTTCTGTTCTGGGTTTGGCTCTCCCCTGCAGTTAACACTGCCAATACAATTCTGAGTTTCACATTCATTTGTGACGGGCATGCCTTTTTGTTATCAACGTCAATGGAAACATTTGGAGAAAAATAAAAAACATTGCCGGCCAAAGGATACTGCCCCCAAAGCAAGCTTTTGGCTGGTAGAGGAAAACTTTTAGGTTGTTATTGTCCGAAGATGAATGTAGTGCTTAAAGTCTACCAAGAATGGGAGGGAAGGGAGAAAGTGGACAACAGTCCTCTAATGATGGTGCAATGCCGTATAGTAATAATGGCACAAATAATAACAATCCAGTGTCATTCCTCTCCATCATTGCCAAGGGGAGGAGCCCTGAGGCAATGTCTTGCAGCAACAAATCCTTGCATTTAAATACACAGGGAACAACGAATGCTGAAACATGAACTAATAAGATGGGGCTTTTCTATTAAATAAAATGAATGTTTGTGAGATCTGCTCAAGGATGAGTGCTTCAGGGGAAAACAGTCCCGGCATTTGAATGTGCACTGGCAGGGCTTGCCTAAATGGTAAAAAACACACACAAGGAAATATTGCAGTGAGACTTTTTTTGAAATTAATTACAGAAATTCTCCATGGAAATCCTGAAGACAGAATAGAATGTAGAGTAGAATTAACACATGAAAGAATGATGCACTGAAACATGGGAATTCCACTTATTCCTAAAACAATGCAAGTAATGATAGGCACTAGATACAGAAATATATTTTCCATTGAGCATAATGAAAATGGAATTTCATGAACTGACCACAGATATGAGCTTTCTTAAATTTTTGAAGGCTCCCATGCCCTGTTGGGTGTGAGATCAAATAGTCGTTATTTGTGTATAAGAGACTTAACAGCATGTGTGCCGCATTGGTAATCTTCCTAATTTAAATGGAGAGGCCTGCCATTCTGGGGGACCAAGACACTGTCAGGTAATTACAAGCCTGAGGGCAAGTGCACACACAAAACAAAACAAAAAACTGACAATCCTAGATGCAAGGAATCTGCCTTGATTCAGCTTTCCCAAGTTCTCTTAAAACAAAAATATAAAAGGAATTACACTTTATGAGATATTGGTGGGATATTTACTATATGGATATCCCACCATTTTTCCTGCAGGGAACCCAAGAAGGCTGATAGGATCCTCCTCCACCTCATCTCCATTTGATCCACTCAACAACTCTGTAAAGTGGATTAGGCTGAGAGTCAGTGACTGCTGGTCTGTTAAAAATTACCCAGTGAGCTTCATGGGCAAGTGGGACTGGACCTGAATCCAGATCCCAGGGATCGCAACATCCCAACTGCTGCGCCAAACTGGGAATGTTTTGATGGCGAGATGAGCTGAAGAGGGATGTTTTTAACTGAAAAAAAGATGCTATGCATGTATCTTCCCGGCATTTATCATTTTATCATATGCATGTTGGATGGTATTTCATAATATAAAATGTTATATATAAAATGTATGGGACATATGGTATGATTCAATACTGGCAGACACAACTATCAGAGTAAGAGTCTGCAGAAATCTTTTCCTTTTCTGTCTTTCCACTGTCTTTTTGTATCTTCGCCTCACCCCGTATCTTATTCCTTCCCTTTGTCTTTTCATTTTTTCTCCTCAGGTTCATACAACCTACCTCACACTTAATTGCTGTTGGACTGTGGGTTATCCGGTTGACTGAAACCAGCCAAGAAAACAAAATATGGTGACTGGGTTGCAAACATGCCTTTGTTTGTTTGTTTAATCTGTATAAAAGCCACCTGTTAGTATAATGGTCTCTGGATGGCCAGTAAAATATCAATAATAACATTAATGAAATAATACAATTAAAATATTAAATAAATAGACATAATAAAACAATATACAACATACCATAGGTTCTCTTCATGAGTTGTCCATGATTAATAAGCCATGGCTTGTCAGCACAGCTGGCTTCATACAAACCATGGTTCAACAACAACCCACACTCAATCCATAGTCGACCCTTGAGTTTGGGTTACTGTGCTGTCTGAACACAGTCATTGCCCTCTCATAGCCTCTCTCAAATGAAGGAACCAAGGCCAAAGCTGTTCCAAGTCAGCTACCGTTATCATCAGTTAGAAGGGGGTTTCTTCATGTAGACTAGCCTTACTAAGAGCTTTTTAAAATTTCTGAAAGGGGTGAGCTGCCACACGTACAGTAGAGACAAAAGCACCAAGCCCCTGGAGCATACAAATACAGCTGAACACATGCTTCAGCAGGCAGGCCCTGGGAAGCCTCCATATTAAGTATCACTTTTTGATTCACAGGATCAAACCATCAAACAAAATAATGTCCATGCCTAGGGGACTTATGATCCAGAATAATCTAATAAAAATGGCTTCTTTCAGTCCATTAAGCCTACACAACACAAATCACCCTTGTTAATTTTGAAACAAAGAAAAATAGAAGTTAATTGTTCATGTGATATTTAAAACTCAAATCATCATACACATTGTAAGTTACCTTTTTATTCATGCATCACAAATAACCACTAATGTACAGAGAGCAGCACATAGTTCTTGTTTTTCTCATTAACTATAATTCATTATAATTTCTATTTGCCAAAGACTTTGGCCCTATGAAATGACCAAACGATTTAGATTGTCTAGGTGTATGAAGGTTGGTGGGTGGATAGGAAGGCAGAGTCTGTTAAGGTTTAATAGTTTGTAGCAGCTTACTTTATAAACCAGTGCCTTTGTCCTGTCTATTATTTTACACACAACCAGGTGCTAACATTGTCTTTCTCTCCAATACAGCGTCGTGTGTGTGTGTGTGTGTGTGTGTGCGCGCGCGTGTGCATATGTGTCTGTTGTTATTGGCATCGTCACTGCTGGTACTGAGTCCTATTAGAAAATCTATGCTATGTCTGATTATTTTTTTGTTAAACAAAACAAAACAAAAACAAAGGGGAGTTAATTCAGTCTCCCCTACATCCCTTCCCAAATAGTTGATCCATATGCCAAGCAGCTAATCCATGTGATTACCTCTTCCACTACAGCAGAAACACAGTCCTGGCTGGTGCACATGCATCCAGTCAAATCAAAGGTTTGGGGAAAAGGCAAAATGTAATCAGGAGGCATCAGCCATGGCATCCCACCATTTCCTCAGGCAGAGATGCCATTTTTAGAACTCAGTTCATAATTTCTCAAGCATGTGGGTTTGACAACACTTCTAGTGATTTCTTCTTGTTCAGTTATGGCTTGTAAGAAGAATGAAGAGATCCAAATTTCTGGAAAAAATCCTCCTCCGCACGCACCAGAGCTTCTTCATCGATGTAGACCGCAGCTCTCCTGGAGACCACAAAATACTGGACTTTCCTCACGTTCCATCTGAGCACGTACTTTAACCAGCCACAGATTGCGGCTGTGGACCTGCCAACGCCAGCATTACAATGAACGTAGACTGTGTGCCCGTTCTCCAGCAAGCCATGGAGGAGACAGACAGCCTGAGGCAACATCTGTACTCTACCTAGGATTAGAAACAGGATGACTGTCAAATGCATGCCTCCCCCGCAAGTAGAAGGAAATGAGAAAGACTGGGAGTAAGGTGCCTTTAAAACATTTTCCACGTTGAAATCATTGCCCCAAGAAAGGGCTGGCATGCAGGGATTTTACTGGGAAATGAAGAAGAGCTTACTTGTTTGAACTGAAATTAAATATTACCTTTCCCAAATGGGTGCCTTCCAGATAGTTGATTACAATGTCCATCATCCTCAGCATAAAGGCACATTGACTGGGGATGCTGGAAGTTGTAGTCTGTTTCACTACAGGCTGTCCTTGGGTTACAAACCTGTTCAGTTCCTGAGAAAATGGAAAGTCAGGTTTAAGTTGAATTTGTATGTAAGTTGGATCATGTCTACTTGGCCGTCCCCATTCACAGGGGTTGGGGTGCAGGACACCTGTGAAACTGTAAAAACAGCAAATCTCTCTAGTTCCGACTCCCCCCCCCCCGAAACTCACCAGTGCCTCTTCATTGCAGCAAGAAAACCTACAAGAGATTTCCCTCTCCAAATGGGTAGGATGGGAAGGCATGCTTTGGAGGCCTCCCTCTCTCCCTTCTCCTCTCTCTCTCTCTCTCTCTGGTGGTAACGATTTTCCACAGTATTTTTTTTTTAAATTAAGAGGCTTTAAGGCAGTTTGTTCATAAATATGAGTTATTTGTAACTTGGATGTTAATAACTCAGAGACTGCCTGTATTCTTTATAATCACATGTTCAATTAAACTAGAGTTTAATTCAATGAAATTAAAGCTTTTTGCCACTGAAAGCTGATTTCCCTCGCCTATGTAAAATGTGTTGGGAGACATACTCTGGGCAGGGTCAGCATGGTGGGACCCTCACTGACAACACTGACCAATACTCCACACTGGTTCAGCCTACGTACATATATCCTTCCACCCACAGGTATGCATCCCTCCTGACCTCCTCCCTCTCAAACTCACGCACAAGCTTTTCTTTTCTTCCTTAGGAAGAGAGGGGGATTCCTCTTCATCACTCAGGCAAGGAAACCCTTTGAAAGCACGTTTATACTCGGGGAGGAAGGTGACTCCTGTGTCCACAGGGCTCCTTATCCATTGCAGCTTTTCTTCCAAGCTTCAAAGGTGCTATCCATGGTGCTGAGTTCAACTACAACTTAGGCTCACCACCATGTAGCACAATGGATAGCTCCTATCATGCTCAGAATAAAAGCTGCAGTGGATTGAGAATCCCACGGGGTTCACTAGCCTCCCCTGGCTCTAGTGGAATCTGTGCCATTAAAGTGCTCAGCAAAGGTGGGAAACCCATGTCAAAAGGAGATGTAGAATGAAACATTGGAAGGTACACTGGGAGTGGTTGGAGGCCACATATGACCCTTGGGTTGTCCATCTCAATCAAATAAGATTTCTTCCAAAGCAGACTCCAAGTTTGCATGTTTTTCAGAATAAGGAGCAGAACCAGCCCACTGGTTTTTCAGAGGACAACTGTCCTGATTAGGTATATTGTAGATAAAAGTACTAAAAATTCCCCAGTAAGGTAAGAAATAAATACATTGCTGGAACACTCTGTGCTTGTTCCCTGCTCAATTAGATGTGTTTAATGTAAATTTTCACCTCCTACTAAACATGTCAGCTTTGCACTGAAATACAGCTGTCCAAGATTATGGAAAAGAGAAGACAATACATTGATGTTTTGGCACAATGTTAAATGGTAACTTGAATTACATTGTAAATTAACCATTATCAACCATATTCTGCTATATATCACCCTTGCAGTCTAACACAGGGCCTTTTGTTTTATCTTTACACCGTCTGTAATATTGTACTTTTTTTACATAGATCTTATTCATTGTCTATTCACTACTTCCAACTGAAAGTAAACTGATGATGAATTACATCCACCAGATTTCAAACAATGCAGTAGCCATGTACTTTTCAACTCAGTGACTATTTCTGTATGCAAATGATGTTACATTTGAAGCAGCCCTCAGCTTCCTTCATGGGGTGGCATCCTCTCATAATGGATGTCAAGGAATTAATCATTTTGATGCACTTTCCATTGGCAAAGTGCTTTATATTTTTTTAATCTCGTAACGGACTGATGAGTTGAAAGGCAGGGCACGCAGGCCTCTGCCTTGGCCACAGGACTGAGACTGATGGGGGATGCACTCCTTGCCTCTCTGGAGGAACAGGCTAGTCCCATTCACTGGCCAGCTAACAGAGAACTAGTTTGCTTTTCTTGGCAGTTCCAGTTGCCCTGGGACTGTGGCATGAAGGGGAAATGATGCTCTGGCCCCACGACTCAGCCAAAGGAACAAGAACCCCCCAGAACACGTGAGAAAGAAGGTAGGATAAGCCTGGCCTACACTGATCCTAAATGCCTACTGGGCTCTCCACTTTATTTTATTTATTTTATTTTATTCTGGCTTCAGAAGCAGGATCGCTTCCTCTGTTGCTGATCTTCTTTTGCCCTCCCTTGTGTGCCTCAACTTTGAGTTTGTATTTCCTCTTTTTAATTTGTAAACCCAATGGCAAAGTTTATTTAGCTGCCACCCGCCTCCCCCCCACACACACACCTTAATTGAGGTGAGCCACTTTTGAGGAAAATGACTATCTGGAAAGTAGGATAAAATCAATTGTAGGAACAATTCTGTGAGGTAGAACAAGTTATAAAATGGTAAACTGGGGCTGGTGATGCTGGATGCCATGTTACTGGGCAGTGGTAAATTTGGAAGTGGCCTCATAGATCAAGCTTCTGTATGCTTCTGTATGCACAGGGTGGATTAGATGTTTACAATGCCACCATCTTGCTTCCTCTTCTTCACCACTTTTAATCTGATAATCTTTTTTTTAAAGCTGATGCTTAGTTTTATCACAACTGGCAATTATACAGGAAAGAAAATCTGATGCAACAAGGGAAAGTGTTTTCCAAAGTTGCTGCCCCTTTTGAGGAATGCTCTCCCAGAGAAACTCATCTGGAATATACACTATTGCCTTTCTGGTGCCTCGTGGAGCCCTTATTATTTTCTCGTTTTTAGAAACAGTTTTGAATGTTTGTAGATATTTCCACTGTTTTTATTTTCTGTATCCTCGTGTTTCATTCGACTTGTTTGGTAACATAACACTGGTTATTGGATGGGTTAAGATGCAATCAAGCAACGTTCCCCTTGTTCCAAACGGCTGGAAACAGCCTTCCCCGCTCCCTCCACCCCGCGCCGGGCGCGCGAGGAGGCGCGGCCTGCAGTTTGCAACGCTTGCTCCGCACCGCCGAAGGGCGCACGGCACTGGCCCCATCGCGCCGCTGGGCGGTGTAGCACCCACTGGCGCCGCCCTTGGCAGTCGAGCCGCCTGCAACCGCAACCGGAGCGGGGCAACGCCGCAGGGAGACGCAGCGGGGTTACGGTTCTCCCCCACTGCCCGTAGCCGCAGTGGGGAAGCGAGCGCCGGATCGCTCTTGCTATTCTGGGGAAAGCAGGATTGTTCACGAGCAATCCCGCTTCCCCGCCACTGGGTGGGGAGGCGGATGGCAGCTACTGGAAGCGCCCCCTTCCGGCAGCTGTCAATCCCACTCCCCCGGCGGCGTCCCACGGGCTATCAGCGGGATGATCGAGGGGGGAAGCGGAGGGCGGAGGTGCTCCGAGCCCGCGCTGTGCCTGAGCCTTAGGCGGGCACGGCTGGGCCGCCATGCAACTCGCGGCTCGGGGGCGGGAGCGCCGGCTGCTACGTGGGCGCTGTCGCCAGGAACGCGAGAGTTGTCGTGATAGATCAGACAGCGCGGGATTCCGCCGCATCCGTGCTCAGTGGCGGCGGAACCAGCCGGGCTCCCGGGAAGCCCATGTGAGGGGCAGCCCACACCTTCCTCTAGCCCGCCACCTCACCTCCTGTCTCGCAGATTAAGTAACACCACAGGACAGACTTCGCCCCAAACTAGATGTTACGCTCACTTACAGGAAACAAGCCTCCCAAGGTTGGGTGGATTTTAGACTGAAAGGCTGCAGTTAGGAGCAGGAGAGCAGCCAGGAAGGAAGGGGAATTGTTAGCTGTTCCCATGTCTCTTGTTTTTCCTCTCACAACTGCCCTGCAATTCTGAACTTAGAAACAAATTTAAAAATGCAGGCAAGGAAATGGTGAATTACCCAACTGCTGTTCCACTTCTAGTTGCAGTTTCCCAAGCCTGCTTTAAATCAAAAAAGCAAAACACACCAGGGCAACGTTGAATGTTAACCATAAGATTGCATGACGTCTAGTTTATGCCTTAGAGCAGTCATCCCCAACGTGACGCTCCTCTGATGTGTGGAACTGCAACTCCCATAATTCCATGGCTAGCTGAGAAGTATGGGAGCTGCAGTCCAAGGCATCTGGAGGAAACCACATTGCAGGTGACTGTGGTAGAGGAAATCTTGTTGCCTTGAACTTGAATGGGAAGAACAACATTTCCCCTTTGCTGCAGCAAAGCCATTTGTGGAAAGTGTATTCTAGAATAAAACTTATTCTAGAAGTTTTATACCAAAACTCCCATGATGGTGTGATTTGACTCTGGCCCTGGCTGTCAACGGGCATATAGTCTTATCTGCATCAAAGAACATTTCTGGACTGTGTAACAGAGCTTAGAGAAGCACTGCATCACAGAAGACTATCCAGATGCAAATGTACATCTAAGCAGAAGCCAGCTGGTTTTTGTGAATCTCTCCAGCTGGACTGGAGAATTTACTTGTCAACTCAAGTATATAAAGCTGATTTTAGAAACATACAAAACCAATGGCGATCACATGGGTAAGTGAAAGATTTTGTAATTTATGTTAAGGAAAAAGGACTTATTGCTAAAGGACATTCTGTACAGTTAAGTATATAGTTATAATATAGAGTATAAAATTATTTATTTAATAAAACTGCCTTCCATTAGAGATGCATAGATCACATCTATGGAGAACATTGACAATGGCAAAGATGTTGCTCATCACCTGATAAGCTTCCAAAGGATAATATAAGTGACTGACCACTAGTAATGAGAAGAACTGACTCTCAGAGGATAAGCCAGGTTCAGGGCAGAAGGACACAACACACCTAAACAGATTTCACAGGACTTACAAACCAATGCAAAAGTGACTTAAGTTAGCACAACATAACCACAGCACAGCTGTTTACTGATTATTTTCTAATTGGGATGAGGAAAAGTCGCAGCCTTAGGACTGGATGGCTTTCTGGCTCATTCCTAAGGGCCAGGAGATGTCAGGTGGTAGGGCCTCCATCACTATGTCTTCTCCTCTCTCAAACACTCCCCATCATTGGCACCCCTTTCTACATGCAGAATCAAGAATTAAGTGTTCCCTCTGGCTTTTCTCTGCAAGGAGAAAGGACAGACTCTCTTACAGCTTTCAGTGTTAAAGAAAGGCAGATGGAAGGCAGAAAGGAAGGTGGAAGGGAGGGAAAGTTTAGTAGTAATGGCATCTTTCCTTTTGTAAGCACCTCAAGTAATTCTAATTGTCCTTCCTTGGCTTAAGCAATATGGATTGCACTTTAATTACCAATTAACATCTCTTAAACAATGCACATATGTGTGCAATATGTGTGTCTTATAATGCAAAAGTTAGCTGATTGTGATTTGCAACCATATTTACCTGGAAAGCTGAACCACAAACAATTATTCATAATCAAGTTTATCAAGGAAAGGAAGGCAATCTTCAGCTGTATGGTAATGTTATGATGGCCTTCAATCTAAGAATCACAGTGAGGTAAGAAACAGGCAGGATGTGAAGGAGTGCAAGCACCGTGTCTGCTTGCAATGATTTGCAGAGCACCATTTCCTTACGCACATAAGACAGTTTGCCCAGCAAACATTTGTCTGTCTTGACTCCCCAAATATTCTAGCCCTCCAATTAAAAAAGGGACTGCATGCTCCTGTACAATCCTGCCCATATCTTAAAAAGTTCCTCACAGATCCTGCTCCAATTACATTTTCCCAGGAGGTCACTGTCCTAACTAGGATTAATGGGCCACTTGGAGGAAACAGCCAATTAATCAGCCACTCAAAGAGGCTCTGGCAGTAGGAAGCTGCATCTAGCAAGGAAAGGGCCACATTTAGTTGGCAGTTATGCTCAGCAAACAAGAGCACAAGTCAGTGACTAAAAGTAGTTCAGACAGTTCTCTACAATAATTCCTCATGAAAGGAGCTGTCATTCCAGCAAAATCTTGCCGAGACTGGGGGCTTAAGCAGACTGAACCCTCAGAAGTTCCACCTCCCTGAGGAACAACTAGCAACTTTAAAGGGCACATCTTATTTTAGCAGTCCTAAGCTCCTGTGAGGCTGCTGGACCTGAGAGGCTTTGGAGAACCGTTCTTGGAGGCTAAGGTTGACAAGAAGGCCTGGGTGATGTGTTGGGTTACCTAAGGATGCTCTATGAAATCAGGTGACCAGTATCCAGTGGGCTCTTTGGGGTGACTATAAGCCTCCACACTTAGGGTTATGACAGTTATCAATTTATGATTACTTCAACAAGCACACTAAATCTCTGGTACCATGGGGCAATGTTGTCCTCTCCCTGCTGGCCTTTTCTCTCCAAGTAAGCTGTATTTTTTTCAAGGGCAAACAAGTCACCCTCAATTTGAAGTGATCTCCTTTAGTTGCTCTGCTAGGTTTCTTACGTTGGGACTTCCTGTTTTACTTATTGCTGGTTAATTTGATTTTATTAATTTTGGATTGATCATTTCACCCATCACATTTGAATTGTTTTTCTTGAGCATTTGTTATTGTTCATTGTTAGGCACCTTGAAAGTCCTTTCAGTTCAAAATATAGATGCAAAAGTTTTAATATACACTACATAAATAAACAGTGTTCCAAGACTAGACTTGAGTGAAGCAAATATGAAGACCTATGACTGGAGGGATGCCAAATTTGCCTAAAAGCTATCCTTGGAATGTTAAAAAGGACACATTGTATTCATCACATAGCAATTTGAAATTCTTGAAGAGCAATCATGTTAGGCATGAAAAACAACACCATGAAGTTTTGTGTCACCTTAAAGAGTTTATTGCAGCAGAAACATTTGTGGGGAAAAGCAGACTTCAAATGCATGAAAGTCATGCTGAGTGACCTTAATCAACTGTGATTCTTAGACAGTTTTTTTGGAAACATCTTGTTTCAGCATCAAAGGGAAATATGCAGTGTGGGAAAGTGCATTATCCTTGAGATCAATCCTGCTGCTATACTTAATGGAGTAATTGTTTATATATGTGGTGCTATACTGTGTTATGAAATACATCATTAGATGTTTTGAATACTACCGACAAAATTAGACTCTATTGGAGAAACAAGGTTTCGTGCTTCTATCATTATCAGGTACTACTGTTAATCTCTACAACAAAGGTAGAGCCTTTTTCAAGTACCATTGAACATCAAGTGTATTATGAGGATTCCAGGAACACTCAGTGCATACCTAACCACAGTCATGAATTAAATGAACTCTTATAGGTAAGACTTGCTTGCTAAATGTTTTTAAATATAAAAATATAAATATAAATAAATCCAAGGATACATTTAGATTTCCATCTGTAAGCAAACTGCAGAGGAGAGATCTTACAACATGAAGCTTGTAAAGCTTCATAAATGAAATTGAAACACTAACATTCCCATAACACAGCTATATTCCTGAATGGGTTTCTGTCATGACTCACCTAAGTTCCATATATTTCAATGGGCTTATTCATTCACTAGATACAACTACACTTATTCTGTGTGAAGAAGAATATGACTATTACCTTCAGTACTCATGTCTGGTGTAGGCATCCAAACATAGACAAGGCCTTCTTCTTTATACAGCTTCATAAGAACTTCTGGGCTCATAGGTTCTGGATAACGGTTGCATCCCCAGGAATTCTGAACAATATCCCATTCTGTCTGGAAGTTCATTACAGCTGTAATCCTCAACTCATGTTTCATTTTCACAGTCACATGCTCCACTTGACGAGGACAACTTCCTAACCATAGATTTGGCAAAATCCTATCAGAGTAAGGGAAAATAAAATCAAAATTAAACTAAAATTAAAATTAAACTTAAACTAAAAGACTTGAGGACTTTCTACAGTCCAATAAATTATCGGTGCATCGGAAGACAGTCTCAGGTTACCGCCCCAATGCCAACACACTCACTGTTGTCCATCTGCTGTCTGCAGTGCTGCACAGACTGCTGCCACCCACGTTTCTGCTAGCTTCCATTTTCTTAGCAGAAACAAAGCTTTAATCGTTCAATCTTATCTCTGTCTATTCTACTATCTATTCAGGTAGTCCACAGAAGAGCTCACAGCTCCAGTAGGGAGAAAGAGAGCGTGAACAGGACACAAGTAAAGAGCATATGGGATCACTGAAAGACAACCACCACTACCAAAACTAAAGCAAAAGGGGAATGGTGAATTTCAACAGAGCTCTCCTTATTAAAACAAAATTCTCATTTGCAACTGTGTACCTAATAAAAGTCTCAAACCTTAATGTAGTCAGCAAGAGCATGACTGTCTAAGTGTATATTAGGGCTCCTGACCAGTTCTCAGATGCAGAATCCTTGAACAATAATAGCTCCGAAGAAGAGACAGCTCCACTCCTTTGCCCTTCCTGAGTAGGTCCACTGAAACTAGAATCTGCACCCCATCCCCAAACCTCAAAGTACCTCTCCCACCAGACTGATGAATACACTTTGGACACTGCTGTACATGAAACACCCAAAAAATTCCCTGAAAGATTCCCCACAACTCCAGAAATGCATAAAATGTCATTAATCCTTTAACTGGCCAAGAACAGCATTCAGATAGTGAGGCCTTGGTTTTGATCCTCTGTCCTAGACTATGAAACTTTGGCAGTTGCTCCAGACTGCTGCTGAGAAAACACACTCCTTCTGAAGAATTTCTAACTGTGCTCATGGTGACAGTTTATAGCTTCCTAAGAAGTCATCTTCATAGTTTTAGTCACCTATAACCAATGGTAATAGCTACACATGGGACACAAGTATATCCTCACACTATCAGAGCTATTATGTTCTATGGCATTGTGATCAAGTCATGGAGCAAACTGTGACTAAATTAATCTGTGCTAAAATTAACCTAGATTAAGTTTCCCCAAGTTGGTGCTCTTCAGGTGTTTTGGACTTCAACATCCATCAGCCCCAGCTAGCCAGCATGGCCAATGCTAGCAGTTGTTGTCCAAAATATGTGGAGGGCATCAGGTTGGGAAAGCTACATGTTGCCAAGCAGAATGCAATCCCCTATTACTTGTCATTTGTATTCTATAAGCAGATAATTCCAATGACCATTATTTCAGAAAGAAGACACTACTCTTGGCAGTTAAAGAAGAAAGAAATAACTTGCAAGACAGATTAACAAACTCTCAGTTAAAGTTCATTGCATTTAGAAGAGAGAATCAGGTTCTATGAATAACTGATGTAAGCACTGCAATAAGCTGTATTTGTAGTGAGGATTGTCACTGAAACTTCTTATAGCAAATTCTACTATTCTGCTATAGGTTCAAAACCTGTCTTAGGAAGCTACAGTTCCTTTGATTGTACCTTAGTGAGCATAGTTTAAGTCCTCCATAAACAAAACCTGCTTCCCAAGAATGGAATAGCTGTTTACCCACAGTGGTAACTCTGCATGGTAGCTCTTTAGTGTATGGAATGTGAACGGCAATACAGATGCTGGGTTGTCTTTGTTTCCTCTACTATTTTATTTATTTATTTAAAATATTTATATGCCGTCCTAATCGCAAAAAAGCCTCTGGACGGCTTACAATGTAATAGCATAAATAAAATTCCCGACCCACACTGGCTGCAATTAAAAACATAGAAAAAACAATATTAAAACTTATTAAAATACCACTGGAACAAAAAGGTCTGAACCTGGCGCCAAAAAACAAACAAATAACAACGGTGCCAGACGGACCTCTCTGGGGAGCGCATTCCATAGATGGGGCGCAACCGCAGAGAAGGCCCTCCTCCGGGTACTTTGTCTCCTAGTATCTTTCACGGAGGGTTCCCGGAGGAGACCTCTGCTGCCGATCTCAAGGAGTGAGAGGGCAAATACGGAAGACTATCCTGGCCCTCTTCATGCTCCAAGTGTGTAAAACAAGGAGCAGGGAGGATAAGTAAGAGGACTTCCATCCTAGAGGATTGTGTTTAATCCACACTGTCTGCATTTCATAAATGGTTAAATGCTTTCTAGTCATCCACTCATTGATGGAATTTGATTTTTTTCAGTTACCCAAACCTGCATTCATTCTTAATTGTGTAAATTTGAACTCAAAATGTGCAAATCCTCATCAATATTTTCATGTTCTATCCTATGGGATAATGTGCATATTATTTTGGTTTTTAAAATCTCTTGTGTTTCTCTATGGCTAGATTTGCACAACATTCTGGAAAGAAAAAACAAGAATAAGATCAACAAGTCTGGTAGTCTTGTAACATACTTGAAAAGCAGAGACTGACAAAAGGACAGAGAGTATTTCTGTCTTCTGTTGGGTTAGGGTTATGCAGTGCCCAAGAGCTGATATGGTAACATGTCACATGGGCCAGTCATCTATAATATGCTTTCACAATAGTTCCTAAGCTCTTGTACTTTTCTCATGTTTTCTTGAGAAGCTATTTGAGTCGCAACTATCCAAATGGATCCCCTGAGTAAAAGTTAGTTTTGTATACTACAAAAGGTAAAGGTAAAGGTTTCCCCTTGACATTAAAGTCCAGTCATGTCTGACTCTAGGAGGCAGTGCTGATCTCCGTTTCCTAGCCGAGGGAGCCAGCGTTTGTCCGCAGACAGTCTCCGTGGTCATGTGGCTGCATGACTAAACACCGAAGTGCATGGAACGCTGTTACCTGCCCACCAAAGTGGTACCTTTTTATCTACTTGCATGCTTTCGAACTGCAAGGTTGGCAGGAGCTGGGACAGAGTACAGGAGCTCACTCCGTCTATAGATTTGAATTGTCGACCTTTCGATCAACCGGCCCAGGAGCAAAGTAGTTTAACCCACTGTGCCACCCGCATCCCATTTTGTATACTATACTAGGTGACAAAGCAATGTGACTAAAACATTAATATCTAGATATCCATTCCAGACATGTGGGTGGAAGGAGTGGAGAGAGACTGTGAATGACTCATGCTTCTTATTTCCTTTCTTGCAAAGTGCAACATGACAAGTGGAACTTACAGATTTATCCTGTGGTAAGATTCATGAGCCCCAAGTAAATACTGGGGCTTATAACTCTTTGAGATCCTCAAATCCCACTTTCCATGTTATAGGAGGCATGAGAAAGAAAAGGTGCAATACTGTTTACAAACCTCTTTGTAATACATGGTCAAATGCTGAGTTAGGGTCGAATATTGTCAGAAATAGATGAGTTAATTTTTAAAAGGCATACACTTCAGCCCAAGTTGAGCCAACAGAGGGTCAAAGACGGCAAATTGTTTGGATCCAATATCCAGCAAGAGTATCACCCACCAATGTCTCATCTGATACTAGCTAAAAATGGCTATAGAAACCTGACAGAAATCTAGGGATGCTCCTAAGATATAAAATGGCAAGGTAACCCTGAACAGCAGCTCTTTGGTCATAGACATCAATAGCAATGCCCTTTCAAGGATGTCTTCCGATCAGACATAGATCAGTACAATTTGGACTGTGAGCAAATTCTTTCATTATGCCTCACCATTCTGAATTAATTCTTATATTTCATTGGTCCATTGTGCAGGTTAGGTGACAATTTAACCCCACATCAGCAGGAAGGAGGACATTCCTTCTTAGGATAGCCATATGTCCTCTTTTATAGAGGATACTCCAGAGAAGTTTCCTCTTTTTTGAAGGTCTTCTATTTGAATATCTGTCCATCAGAAGGAAGAACTGGGCCTTAGTATAGCATCTGGCGAGCAGACTGAGCAAAGCAGACAGGTCACCGGGTTACAGTCTTCCATGCTAGGGCGTGATGTTCAACATTTTTATTAAACCATTAATTCTTATTTCTAAATCTATCGCCATATGTATAAATCAGCACATGCAAATTTTACGCATATTCATTTCCTCTTTTTTGGTGAATCATTCTTCTTTTTTGGCAATAAGTGAATAAGTGGCCACTGTGTCCATTCCTCTTAAGTACGATAAGGGGTGAGGTTGGGCAGATTCTGAAAGTTTATGAAAATGGAGTCAACATAAGCAAACACTTTTGCAGTTAGTTTTTTTTTTCTTGTCCCACACTTTTTAATTATTTTAATGATGCCAAAGCACAGAATGCTTGGATGACTCCCTTCTCAACTCTGCACATTCTTAATTAAATTTGACAATTCACTCTGGATTCAGCTGAAGCCACAAATTCCTTTCATTTAATCAATACACATGTGAATCATCTCCATGCCCTCAGAGACATTGTGAGCCTAGAGCTGTAAAAGATCATTGCTGTTCTGACACTATTTTGTACTATATGCTGACACTTTGAAGCATTAAAAAATATCAACCTCATAAAGCTCCTTTGAGTCTCACAAGCAACCCATCCCTGTCCAGAAGCCCTGTAAAATCAGCCCTGTATAAGCAGACTGTTAAGTGCTGCATTTAACTTGTTTATCTATAATAAGGCGCTCTGTGGCCATCACCTATGGTTAAAGCTAAACACTTGCCAAAATTAAGCTACTTTGCAAAAGAAATTGGCAATAAAATCACTCACCAGCCATTGAATTTGTTTATATGGCTGAATTTGTTTAGATGGGAGTCAGTGCATTCCTTTTAAAACAACAACACAGCAATGAAATCTCCCTTTAGTATCTACTTAAACTGTACTAAGTTTCTGAGACTTAACAGTTCACTCTACTTGGCCAGTCATTCAAACGCCTTGCCGGCTACATGCTACCTCCTTTACCAGAAGCGGCATGCCTGCATGCATCAGTTGCTGAGGAGCTTGGGCAGAAGAGGTCTTGCACGCATCCTGCTGGAGGGATCCCGTGGGCAGCTGGCTTGCTACAATATGCTTGAAGTGCT